CTGCACTGCAAGGTGAAAAGGAGTAACCGGGGTGAGTCTTTATATATATATATATTATGTAACCAATCGAGCCTCCTTATTGTTCCTATTGGATGTTGATAACAGTGAGAACCAAATTGCATCAGAAAAGCTTTTTGCAGGTTCGGACAGCACCCTGACGTCCAGAAAGGATGCTTCTTGTCACCTTTTTTACAGTAAACCAGACATGTACCCCCCTGAAGACTAACATGGACCCTGAAAACCACTGGTTTTCAAAGGAATACAATCTTGCAGGGGGCCATTGACAGGGTTCACGTTAGTTTTCCCGAGGGTACCAACAATTACCTGTGCACGTGTACTAGACCTGGTTGTCACTTGGTACTGGGTTACTGTAATCACTTTATCCTTGAGCTGAGCTGCACGGTTCAAGAAAGGCTGGATGCTTGCTTGTAAAGAGCACGCTGCGTGAGCTGAAATCAATTTGCAAAGCGTTGTAGCTGACAGCCAGTAGCGCAACACGACTTGTCATATTTCATTTGCACACATGTATGCTTGGAACCAAACTAGGCATAGTTTTTCTTTTCAACAAGCTTTCTCTTGCGCTATACAGCTGGCGGTCAAAGGCAAATGCAAAAGTGACGGATCGCCAATAATTGAAAAGGGGCAGTGAAGCGGCTTTCTTGGGTGCTGGAGCAGTGTATGGAACTATAGCATACTGAGCACATTTTGATGCGTGCAGAATGGTCTTTCTTGTCAAGATACTGCCTTGATTCAAGACTTCAAGAAATATCAGGCCGCTAGGAAGGTTGCAGTATTATGTTGTTTATTGGGGGTTGCGTTGACCAATTTGTCAGACTGTTTTTGCACAAGGCTCTGGCAGATCGTGAGTGGCGTTCTGCACAGGAGACCGTGGGACCCTGTGGGAGAGCCCATAGAGGCTCCAAAATCCATGGCTGAGCTGGGCAAATTGGTCTTGGACTTGAACCCCTTGTGAGTACAAACGTTGTTAACACTGTTAAGACTATTGTCCATCCATTCCTTTCAAATTGTTCCTTTCTGCATTATTTTCTTCTTAAATACCCTTTTCCACCCTGCGTGGGTGGAAAGAGAGCCTGCACTGGAAAAGAACCCTTAAGCCTTAAGGCCACAATGAAATTTGCCTTGTGCGGGAGCATGCGGTTTGAACAAGAGCCTGCGCAGGGTGGAAAAGCACAATGGGTTTCTGGCCAGTAGCTTGCCACAGGGTAAAAAAGAAACCCTGGACAGGGTCCAAAAAGACCTATGTGACGAGGTGGAAATTGAACACACACACAGTGCAGGAAGAAACCATAAACATGCCCTCATGCCCTCCAGGATCCTCCAGGTTTTGACTCGTCCCTGTATGACAGTTTGTCCCAGTTATCATGTACTGCATAGAGTTGCAAGGCTGGAAGGAGTCAAGACCCTTTCAAAATCTTAAAAAGTTATATAACTCCAATCAATTACAACTACATGCAGGAGGATGGAGTAGGGTGTAGGTGGGTAGGTGAAACAAACCGGTCCGCGCGCCGAAAGAACTACACACTGCGACTCTGTGGTGTGGTCGCCACTTCTGAAGCTCAGCCCGTATGCACTGATCACGGATCGAAGAAAAGTATGATCAAAACTCAGCTGGACATCCAACAGCTATTCGAATCGAACAGCCTTTCATGGCTTGAACAGAATACGCAGCTGTCCGACACATGACCCCGTTCACCAGGAGCGTATTGAGGTGCTCCACATGAGACGTGGCGAGGCGCACGCGCCGTGACCTGCTTCGCTGGACCAATCGCGTGGTTTTGACGGGAGGCCTAATAGCGATGGCCTCCAACCCAGAAGCGTTGGCATCCAACCCAGAAGCGATGGCCTCCAACCTAAAAGCAATGGCCTCCAACCGTTCATGCAAGACAGAATTGACAGAATCACCGAAGTAAGACATTAATGAAAACAATTATGAAAGCAAAGCGGCGCACCATGTCTGGCTTGGAAGATGTTTGATCCCCTTACAAGAAGTACTTTTGGACTGCCACCAGATTTGAAAACGTCACTTAGGTTGAGGATGCCACATTAATTAAACCAGATGTTCCACCTGAACATGAAAGCCGCATTGCTTGAGTTCCTAATCTCCCGTTCTGGCAAGCGATGCCTGGAGGCCTCGCATGAACTTCAGCAGTTGCAAGGCTGGCCGTCTGGAATTCTCTCAGATTTTAACAACTGCATGCATTTCATTTGATAAGTTCTGGGAAAAGGACAGATTCAGAACCACAGCTGCGGAGCCTCAAACTTCTTTTGTGGGTCTCGCAACACGAGTGACCTCGACAAAGTGTGTGTGGGTGCTGGTCACGGATTCGCTACCGATAGGCCGTTGAACTCCATGGCACACCAGGGGGTGAAACGTTTGGCACTGCTTCGCGCTTCCGCCAGATCCTTCCGTGTGCCGGTGTGCTATGGGTTTATAATGGGTATACTATAATGGTTTACAGTAATTATGTGTTGGGAACAAAGACATTGGTCTTCGTTTGCACGGCGGTGTGCTAGGTTACATGAGTTCAGAAGTGTCACGTCTTAAGTATTGCAATGGTATCGTATCTACTACTACTACCGCAGCAGGACCACCACGGACGAAATCCCTCGGCACTCCGGCGGAGTCGTGACGACGTGTCAGGTTCAGCATGATGACATGTTTTGTACATGTCCCTATCAGGCAAAGTTGCAGATCTCCGTCAGAAGTCTGGAGAGGTTGGAGATTGTCGGTTTTTGAGTGTGTGTACTGTTTTATGATGCTTCCGTCATGAGTCATGGAGGTCAGCCGAACATCAAAGAAGATGTCTTTGTTGGATTTCATATTGGATTTGATTATATAGATGATCATCAGATGATCAGATCAGATCGCTTCTCCAGAACGTTCTGAAAGGGCTTTGTTGATTAGGCCGAAGCAGACGCTGAGCGCATGGAGGTTGGCGCTCCGGGTCGGTGTTGGAACTGTTTGGATTTGGTGTCGAGCCAAGCCGAACAAAGCAGATAAGCTTTCTTTCTTCGTGCATGCAAAAAAGGGGACAATAGGCAGAGACCGCCCAATATTTGCGCGCCGCACACTTGAATCACTTGATGTTGATTCTTGATCCGGCTGTTTGGGGCTCTCTGACAGGAGAAGCGGCGGCAAGTGGCAGAGACTTTGGCAGGCAGAGACTTGCGCAGCTGTGGCTCGCGGGGCAAATCGCAATGACATCCACAATCAAATATGGACAAACAACATGCGCAGACGAGCCAGTGTTGGCCTGCACTTGCTTGTAGTTGCACATGCGCATGCATCTGGAAACCAATATGGAAACAACCATTCAAGACCTCATGGAAACAACCATGATCGAGCTCATCAGTACCGCCACCAGCTACCGGCACTGCGTCCTTCATCTGAACCTTGAAAGGTCCACCGAATGCACCGATGCGGCCGTTCAGGCCTTGAAGTGGAGCGTGACCGAACAATGGAGGCTTTGGCCAAAGCACAGCTGGCCGCAGAGGAGGAGAGAACCAGAGACAAGGGAGAACATGGACGCGGAAGAAGGATGAAGCAGGGATTGATAGAAACAGAAAACGTGGAATTGGCTTAGGAAAGCTAGGCTCAGCTAGGCAGTTTGGGACCCTGACAAAAACTTGTGTTCTCAGCCCCCTAGACTCCAAGATACATGGTTGACCTGGTTTTGTAGTGTAAAATCCTTTATAGAATATTTTAAACTGTAAAACACTGGTTGTTTGGTAAAGCCTATTAAATTAAGGGTGGTTGGAAGCCAGGGAGCCTCCATTGACTGCAATCCTGAGCCGTGCATCACGCCTTCAAACTGTAATTATCCAACATGCCGTGGTCTTGTGAGCATGTTTGCAAATTAGAATGGGCTTCATGTTGAGCTGTCAGCAGTCAGAGGGACCCTTCACCATCCAACGATGACATCCTTCTCCGAACGCCGAAGACGCGACGCAGTCCGTTTCGCCCGAAGACGCGGCCCGTCCTCAGCGGCAGGAAGTTCGTCGGCAGCGAGAAGGAGAGGAAACAGGCACCACGGCACTACGGCACCATGGCACAGCGGCTTGCTTTGCTTGGGAGGGCACGACTCCTTAGGTCTTCTTTCACTGTTCTTTGGACCAGTCAGACGTTTTTTGAGTTGTGACATATATGCAAAGTCACAGAACAGTATAATAAAAGGAACATCTTCAGCGACTAAACGCTGTCACTATATACCTAGCGCTTTGAAAGTACCACGAAAAAAGAATGAGTAAATAACAAACACATATAGTTTGTTCCATTCGGTTCCTTTTATGGGGGGCAGGTTATCTAGTTTTTGGATTTTGGAGTGTTTGGAGTGTCCATACTTTCGAAGCGCATCATATCGTGAGTATACTCATACAGCCGCTTGGCTCATAATGTATGGAAGACTGGTGAAGATGTCTGGCCCGATGCACACTTGCGTTCAACTGCATGTTCTACTACTTGAGGCGTAGCAAGCTAATTCAGTTGCTCAAAACCTCCTAAGACTTGATCCCCAGCTTCGGAGTCATTTTGTTTTATATATTGTATTTGATATTGTGTTACAACATAGTATAATATATATTATATAATATATATATATAGTCACAACAAGAAGTGTGGAATTGGAACACACTTTGCAGGAATAGCATGATATAGCGGTATCTAATTTCCGGACATGAAGCGCAAACTGCCGGATGCATTTGTGAACATAATTCGCGGGAAAAGAACATGTAGCGGCAATTCCCGGAAAGAACGTTGGACCATCAATGAGTAAACCACGTTTCATAGCCTGGCTGGCTGGCTAAGACCGCCTTCGAAACCAAACAACATGTAAGCCAGGAAGATCAGTTTTGTAATGTTTTTTTGTATATAGTTTCAACATTTCTCAACTCTGCAACCTTCAATGACTTCAAAAACAATGATTTTCTTTCGGATTTCAAGGCGAGTCTCCAGCAGACTGTGCACACAAAGGACCCCTTTTCAGCGCAAACTGGTTTGGGTGTCAAAACGAAAGACTCACCAGAGTCAAGAACAAATTGCAAAACATCTGCGGGGGAAAGATGGCAGTGACTGACTTCAACATGTTTTTCGCAGTCTTCCGATTTTCACTATGACTGCTTTGTTTCTTTATAGGGAATTTTCTATTGTTTAAAACTGTTTGTCATTGTGTTTCATCAAAAAACCTTTGTGTCATTTGTTGCGACATGTTGGTTCTAGGTAGTCACTTTCTCATTATATACTGTAGTGGATTTGGATGCTTCCTTGATGTTTTTTGAAGGCGCAGAGCGTTTGGCTGAGCTTCAACGTGCACGGAAGGAGGCAGGTTGGAAGAAGTGGAAGTGTGAACTTGCTGACCATCAAAGACTTGCAGACACGGAGCGCTGCATCGCCTTGAGCCTGTTCAGGGTCGATCTTTTGATGGGCAAAACATGTGTTCCTGTGGGCGATCACGGTCTTTTGGCGAGGTGGAAGAAGCTAGTGCCTTGGTGGAAGCAGAGCGGCCACAGGCGTGGGCCCAAGTGCAGCAACCAGTCACTGAAGCATACGGGGACGTACCCAACATTACTCAAATATAAAATGTCGAAAGCAGATGTCTGAACGACCCTAGAATCCTAGACTTGGTGCCAAAAAGCAACACCTGATCCCCGCTTGAGGGCTTTCTGGTTGAACCAACAAGGAGGGTTTCAGATAAACTTTCGGAGTAAATCCACGCATCATGTGTTTGGCTGCGATCACCTTGTTATCCCAGCCGCCTTGATACAGGTGGTTGCCGCCCTGGAGCAGCTGCGATCAGTAGAGCAGCAACGGCAGGCGGCCGTTGAGATGGGGGTGTGTTGCATGTTTTACAAAATTCCAGATCTATTGTCATCACAACACTGTGCTGTCCAACAGCAGGGTTGGTTCTATTGAAAATCTTTTGAAACACATTACGGCGGCTATGTAACGTGGAAATTGCACTGGCCGAACTTGACAGCAAGCGTGTGGCGTTTGGATTCAATTTGCTGAGCAGAATCTCTTGCGTGTGGCGTTTGATTGGAGAAGTCTCGCAGTGCCTCAGCGATATCAGGTGTGCAATGCTGAGCGTGAGCAACTGTTAGCACGACAGGGTCGTCGCCAGCAGTTCCGCACTGTGGAGGCAGTAGCTTTATTATGCTGTATTTTTGATGCATGCACGGTTGGCGGCCATTGCTTTTGGGTTGGAGGCCATAGCTTCTAGGTTGGAGGCCATTGCTATTAATTAGGTTGGAGGCCAGTGCTTTTAGGTTGGAGGCCATAGCTTCTATAGGTTGGAGGCCATAGCTTCTAGGTTGGAGGCCATTTGCTACGCATTAATTAGGTTGGAGGCCATCGCTTCTCAGTAGGAGGCCATCGATTCTAGGTTGGAGGAATGGAGGCCATCTCTACTAGGTTGGAGGCCATTGGTGTTAGGTTGGAGGCCGTTGGAGGGTTGGAGGCCATCGCCAGAAGGCCTTTGCTATTACGACAGCTTCTAGGTTAGAGGCCATTGCTATTAGGTTGGAGGCCATCGCTTCTAGGTTGGAGGTCATCGCTATGGGTTGGAGGCCATTGACTTTTAGGTTGAAATCCACCTACAACTGCCCCCCAACAAGTGCAGCTTGGAGAGATGTTGACACGATCTATGCCTTTTCGTCTCCGCTCTTACCTCAGAGCCCGGTCGCACGCAGGAGCGAAACCGTGCCCTGGACGAGGAGGTCCGTGTGCGTGAAGAAAAGTTGGCCGATGCCAGGCTGTGGGCAGCCAGAGATGTGAGACTTGGTCAGTCAAGCTTCCTTTGTTCGCAGTCTTATTGGATTTTATTGGTGGCTTTCTTCGTCCTATGTTTCGATCTTGAGATACCTGCTTGGAGCAGCTGTGGCGTATCCCTAGCATTCCTCCTCACACATGCCACTTTAGATGCGTTTAGGCTTTCTATCATGAGCAATGCAGGCCCAAGATTGGCACAGGACCTTGCATACAGTTGGTACTTGTGGTTTGAAATCAACACACATAGGTCACCAAAGCCCTCACCAACTACCACTCACCGAATCTCACCGATGAATATTGCGCACTACCAGCCTGGCCATGCTTTGCCAGGGAATCCTTTCATTTCGCACCCTGAGGGCGCAGAGTCTTTCATTTGGCTAGGCGAAAGATTGATGTCAGCATGGAGCGAGAAAAGAGAAGCGAGAAGTCTCAAAAGCAAGCCCATGAGGCCCATTGAGCATCGGGCCAGTCTCAAATCGAGTGTGACCTTACAGAGTGGTGCGTGGCTCGTGTGACCAAGCAATGGCTTTGGGTCAGAACCTCACCTCCACGAATTCTTCTATAAAAGGTTGATTTGCCTAGGCACCTAGTCTGCCTAGTAGTGCATTTTGTTGAGGGGATCGAAAAATCCTTGGTCGCACACAAAAAGATACAAAAAGCAATTGAATCGTTCTTTCCTGCTACTAAATATGTGTCTTGAATGTTGCTGACATCATTTGATCCCAAACTATGCATCCAATACATGCCTGGTTACCATGTGCTGGATGTTCATTGATTTCGCTGTCACACCTTGTTGTCGCTGGGTCTCTCTCTCTATTTCCACCCGTCCAGTCCACCTCCCTGTTCACCCTGGACCAGGCGGCGGTAACGGGACGGACAGACGTGTCCAGCAAGGAGCAGGAGCCGCGCGCACAGTGCGAGACCGACGCCGAACGGCGAGACGCGTGAACAGTAACAGTTGCGTTCCCCACCCAGCCCCGATCGACATGGAAATAGCATGAAATAGCTGAAAAGAGTTCTTGTGACGTCAATACCACATACCATTCAAGGCCTAAGAGTATGGAGCTGATTTCTGAAGTTCACGATGTGTGGATGTTTGCTTTTACCCTGACCAACCTCAAAATGCATACATGGGCGTAAAACGTGGGCTTTTTTGGGGGTTCTGTGTGTTAGTGTTCTTTTTTTTCTTCAAGCAAATCTGCTTCACCTACGTGTTCTCTCCCCAGGTTAGGCTCCTTGGGCAAAGAATTGCGTGGCTTGGGTGAGAGGTTGGATTCCAGCGTCCGAACCTGAGTCGCCGAACCAGCACAGTTTTTCAGACCGGACCATCGAAATCGGCGAGCCCGCCGAGGCCGAGAAACTCCGGCTCCTCCACCAGGTAGGGATGAGTGGACTTGGACATGGAAGGAGTCAAGGGCGATGAAAGAAGTATACGCTTCTGCCTGACTGGAGGTTTACTATACTGTATAGAAGTGTTTTTCTTTCTGCCTGATCATCAAGAAGGCATATAAGCTGCCTGACCATCGGAGTCCTGAGGTGTTTTCTTGAAGTCAGATTGGACACCGGACGATCTGCAGATCTCTTTTGAGATCGGTCGACTGATCCTTGGGCCTTTTCACCCTTCCGATCGGCTACACGCGCTTCATCAGGATCGGCACAAAGCACAGCGCGAAGTGGAAAAGCTTCGTCAAGAGGCCATTGCATTTTGGTGGTTGAAGAATTGAAGAGATCATTTTTGACTCAAACGTCCAAGTCCACCTCGTCCACAGGGAGCTGGAGTTTTTCCTTGGAATGACGCAGTCATATGCCTTCAACTCAACTGGATGTCGCAGAGCACCATCAGGCCCCATTCAGGACGATTCACAGGTCCCCGCCGTAGCTCTTTGTTTTTCGGGATTTACGCGCTCGAGTCAAGACGCGACGCCGTCATGTATTAACGTGTATTTGTTAACAATGGGTAACAGATACTATACAGTTATACAGACACTTGTCTTCACACATAGCAATTAACTGGGAGCTTGATTCTTGACTTTCTCAATGGACAGAGTGGTGATTTGGATGGATCGGCTGGTCTTCCAGAGACACAAAATCCGACATCAGCGTGAGTTAGTGTATCTGGATGATCCCTAGCTCAGTTACCCCCACATCTCCCCACTAAATCTAATGCTTCGACTCGACTTGCCTCGATTGGGGTGGAGGGATGCAGCGACCTCCGCAGACGATCCCCGCACAAACGGCGACCAGAACAGCTGGAGGCGCGCACCAGCCAATATCGGCTTGAGGGGACCATGCCAAGAGCCAATTGCCAGGCTTGAGGGGACCGGTGGTGCCGGCTGAGGCCGTTTTTTTTTTCTCATGTTCAGCGGTAGTTCAAGTAGAAGGAGGATTGAAGATGATGGAATTCTTTCTGTTCAACACCATCTTCAGTGTATGTCAAGAGGAGTTGCAAGTGGGGCCGCTGATGTACATGCTGGGGGTCCAGGTGTATTCACACGTTTTCATTGACAATGGTCATCAATTGAATCTGGACTATTACTTTCATTTGACAACGCAGTTACTCATAGTTCACGTGTATCGAGCGTGGGCTCCCCTGAGCTGGGGGCCCCCACCCTCATTCAAACAGTGAAAGTAACCACTCACTACCAGGATCCTGTTAAGATCTTGTTAATGCTTATTTATTAACCACTAATAGTGAAACATTGAAACATGGCAGTTTAGCTTAATAGAGCTTTATTCTCAAGAAAATCATTATTTTAGATGAGTCAAAGGTGGCATGTCACAGCATACCTCTGAGAGCAACAGGGGGGACCCAAGGCCAGGGGAGCCTGAGCTAACCACGCGTGCATATTACTGTATGTTTTTGCCAACCCCTGGCAGCTCTGGGAAATGCATGGAAATCCAGACTCGAAATTTGCAGACGTTTACTTCAGCCTGTAGCACAAGAATGCGTAATTTTCAATCACTAACATTGCTGCTCCTTTTTGAAATGCCCAGCCGGAACAGCAATCATACATCGAGAAAAGATGAGAAAGGATTCTATAGTTACATGATTATACCGTTGCAGGACTATACATGAAACACGTCAACCATGTTAATGGCCGGAGCCATAACCCATCATCCACTCAATTGCAGAGTAACATGTCTGAGTACACCACTTCGTCTATTTTGGGCATTCACTGATGGTATTTCGTTTTGATCCAGACCCACGGGAAAACTCAGTCAGATTTCATTCAAGCACCGAGATGGCAACTTGGAGAACAAAGCACTGGCAAGAACCAGGTTGTATATGCAATATACATAGCTAGCTTTTTGTTACTACTAGTAAGGCACTTGTTACTAGTAGCGATGCACTTGTTTCTACTAGCGTGGCACTTGTTACTACTAGTAAGGCACCTGTTACTACTAGCGTGGCACTTGTTTCTACTAGTTTTGAGTTGGATTTAGATCCATTCTGCTCTTGCTACGACTGTTCCCATGGATCTGGACGATCTAGACTCAAGCTCTATGGATCGCCCCCAGTCAACCCTTTTTCTTCGGTTTTGTTGGCTTGTGGGTGTCTGGTGTTTGGAAAAAGTTGTTGCAGTATGTTGGTCTCTCTTTCATTTGGAGCATCAGGTCGCCCAAACTTATTCGGCAGACGAACTCGGCAGACCACATCCGATACGAGTTTCGCGTCTGATGCGATTCGTCACAGGCTGTCACTGCAGTGATGCGCTGGGCGCAGGACGGTCGGTGGTGACCCGAATGTGCTCGCTACTTCCGCTGTTGAGGATAATGATGTGGATCATGAGCATCATCAAGATTGTTGATTGTGGTGGCTTTGGGGTGTTTTTGGGAAGCATAGATGTCAGCATATTTCAGTGATTTCAGCAAGATCCTCAGACTCCACGACAATATTTTGGCTTGCAGCAACTCAGAAAGAGGGGGAGAGAGTGTGTGAGTGAGTTTGGGTGCTATGATTATGTTGTATTGCAGAGTTGACAAATCACCCAATTGCAAGTCACTCACAACAAGTTTGCCGTGTGCTGGATGTGTGTTTGTTCCTTGACTGTGCAGCGTTCATTTGATTGGGCGATTGGAAAGCCAATCAAACGTCCACGCGTTAGAAGCATTTTGGCGATTATGGACAGCCTCAGTGCAGGAGCAGGGGCTTCAAGATCGAATTCGCGGCACACTGCTCTCCCACATCGAGGCAGATATGCAAAGAGTTTGACAAGTTTGCCAATACACCCTCTGGGCTTGATTGTTGCTATGCAATGGATATGCTAAGAAGTTCTTGCAATTCATGTAAATCATCTGGTGGCCCCATATTTGCTGTGTTTGCAGGTCTTTCATTCAAAGGAACTAGTGCTGCCGCCTGCTGTGCTGTCAATCCGTACCAGAGTATGTTTCGCATGCGGACCAGACTCTGAAAGCAGGTTTCTGCAACTTTTCGAGCGGCTGTAGAGAGCTTTGCGGGGTCTGCCCTTTTCAATGTACTGGCTTTGCACCCAGAGAGCTTTGAGTGTCAATCATCCAATCAACTGCCTGACTAGCTAGTAATGTAGGGGATCTTGCTTGCTTGCATGTGCGACGGGTTCTGTTGCACCTTTGTCTTTTGAATTTATATGAATTTATAATCCGGTCCACACATTAATAAACACGCCCCCCCCCCCCCTAATAAGATAAACTCGGTCGCATTTTTTCTATTAAGGGGTCCCTGAAATTGGGGGGGTCCAAAATAGGGTCACCTGGGAAGAGCTTCAAAACCAAAAAGTCATCCCGAAAAACTTTATATAAGATCCTTTATTAAACTCGTACCAAAAATTCAAAAAACCTCCAGATCGAAGGGGTCTTCCTTTTCCCCTACAAAAACCTTTATTGGAATACTGATTCTTCATTAGACTAACAACCAAAGCTGAGTCCGTTTGCGTGAGTCCGTGCCATTGGAGGAAGGAAAACCTGCTGGTGTAAACGCTGCGTGTCCTGGTGGATACACAGGGCGGACAGGTGTGGGCAGTTGCAGTTGTTATTGGAACCTAATAAAAGAAACTACCCCCAAAATCGACCATGTTGGTAGTTTAGTAGCGGCTTGAAAGGGCGGTAATTTAAAGACACAAAATAAACCGAATTTAGGGCTTCGGACGTGGTGTTTTTTCAATTGGGGAGTGTTTATTAATAGGTACTCGGGATTAGCTATCGCCGAATTATTGCCATATTCAAAGTCTAACTTGTACGACGTCAAGGAGACGGAGTCACCGTAGTTAATAAGTGCACATGTCGCTTTGTTCGCCTCAAAAAGGCCACTCCCTGATGTCATGTTACCTCCAGATTGACTCCTTTTCATGTCCTTCAAGCAGCCTGTTGTTTCTCTTTGCAAAAGAGCCCTGCCAAATTCTTGATTGCGTTCTTTTTTGATTCAGTTGGAACAAATTGCTGGTCCATCGCATTGTTTTGCTTTCCCGTTTCAATTCCTTTGGAACGTTCATCTGTTTTTGCAGACGTGTTTTAATATGAACAACTGAACATGGTCGACTGGTTCTCTGTTAAATGTCTTGGAATCAATGTCTCAACACACTCGCAGCAGCTTGTATGTTTCTGCATGTTTCTACATTTGCAATAAAACATTTAAGGGGACCCCCCCGGACCCACATTCGGCATATACACATACACCAACACACACACATGCACTTGCATACGGCATGGACTGACTTGGCATGAAGTGAGATATCTGGATATCTCTAGGTATTTCCTGTGCTGAATGTTTCCAGCGATCTTGAATTCTGAAAATCTGAAAATCTCCAGTTATACCTCCTATACAGATATTGTTCTTGATCTATTTGTACTAACCACTTTGGCTCGGGGGATGCACATGTATTGGAAGGGGGACAGCATATAAAATAGATTTACACGCACATAGTCGCATTGGCCAGTTGCGAAGACTCTGGATTCAGGTTCTATGTTTTTGTCATTCCCAAATGATTTTGATTATCGTACAACATAGTTGATTCCTAACTCAGAAGCATTTCATTTCAACTTATGCCATTGCACTATAGTAAAGGGAATAGCTTTTAAAGCCTGTTGGGACCTTGTGTTCCAAGATGAATAATAAGTTGTTCAATAAAACGGCATTACAGAATCACCAAAATGTTACAGAACATATTCAAAACAACAAGCACCTAAGTTTACTGAACATTTGGGTGGACTGTTTTTTTTTCTAGTTCTCTATAGGCGTCGTAATTCAAAAATACTATTCACAAAGTTCCTGCAGATAGTTCTGATGTTGTTTTCATCGTATTTTTTTGCGCTGAAGTCAGTCCTTGTTCCATTATTTCGTTAGCCTTCCCGCAATTGTTGATTAACACATTCCTCGTTTTGAATGTTCCACCCTTCTTTCATATAACTGTTCCTTACTATTCCCAGGCAAGTTTCAATCCGGAATACCTTTCAATGTTCAATTCATCCAACAGTCTGAAGCATGTGCAGTCATTTGTTTTCAGTTTGTAGTGGTAACTTGACCTATGTCGTGCAATCTGTTTGAAACCTTCAGCACGTGCCTCTTTTGGTAATTCTTTTTACTCGTACGACTATATACATTATAATTATAGTATATGATCATTTCTTTAGGTAAGCTTCGCTACACTTCCACTCTTTGCAACTTCAAGTCTGCATCGTTTGCAGGAATTAGGCGTTTTTCTCTTGTCCAATGAATGGGGCCCATTCCCGAGCACCGAGCACCGAGCTCTCCAGCTCTCCAGCTCGCGCACAGACAGACACGCTCGTCAGACACGCTCGTCTGGGCGACAGTGGACAACTCGTGGTGGATGGCGACAGAACACGACAAAGAATCACGTACTCCACACTGAAATCAGCTCAAGGCCATGGATGATGAGGCTGCCGCTGAAGCTGTCAAGTACGTGAGGCGCACCTGGGAGGTGATAAAAACAACTGGGGTGTTTTGACGGTTCAACTACCTCTAGCTCTAAAGCAACTGGAGGTGGAATTCTGACAACGACGCCACACCACATCAAGAGTTTGCAGCATTTGTCTATTTTGGGCTGTTTTGCGATTCTGCCAGCATCCTCCGATCCATGGCAAAACAGACAAATCGAAGCTGGAAACAGCACAACCTCACAGGAGAGATTATTATTGCCAATCTGTAGTCAAGTGTGAAAAGAACTAATGGTGCCTCCGATTAGCAGTACCATGTGACGTGTTGGTTGGATCTTGAGAAATGAATCTATTCTAATTGCTCAATTTGAATAGGTCCAATAAGTTTGTAGAACGCCTGGACATCCAGTTCGGCGTGTCACTGTAGCGAAGACGTTTGCATGTCCCGTCAAGGACACGCCGCTTGGGCGCAGTGGTTGTGACTCCCATCAGCCGATGCCTTGGCCCGGTGTGCACACTGTGTCAGGTGTCAAACGAAGGACGGGGTACCGGCTTGCCCGGTTTAGGTCAAACGCCGACCTCACGGGGTGCGGGAAAATGCAAACATCAGTTCGAACATGAGTACAAGGTTTTGCTTGCTTGGTCCTTGGACTGGTTGGACAAGTAGGGTTGGCTTTTGGGATGAATGCAACATATTTGTAGCCGCGATGAGAAACCATGCTTCACAGCATGGAGCGAGCGGCGATCATGGAATCTAAAGAAAGCTACCTCTCCGACGGCATTGCTGAACCGCCTAGCCAGTTCAGCGCTGCGCTCATGAGGTCAGCTTCCGCTCAGAGAGCACTCGTTCCCAAACATGGAAGGAGCCAGCTGCTTAGGGAGTGAGTCTTCCAGATTGTCTTTCCACCCTGAATTTTCAGAGCCGAGTAGCCGTTCGACGGTCTTATCAGAATATTGTGAGAATTCAGCACAATTCCCAGCTCAGCTATTTCAGGGTTAATTCCAGTTTCTTGACCCCTTTGACGTTGTATATATGATCGATGCATATGCGTCTTTGGAAGTGGCGGTGTTCTTGTGTGGACAGCCGCGGAGGGATCGAGGCACCGCTCCCCTCCCTCCGACCACTTGCCGCCACACCCGCTCCGGTCAAGTCCGAGGTCAAGCCCTTGGTCTCGGTGGTGAAATGCCCAGACTGGGTCCGCCCAGCAGTTCAGCAAGTCTTTGGGAAGGCGCCAACCATCGTGGTTTAACCATCACGCCAGAGTGGACATGATGGAGAATAAGAGCACGTGTTCCTTTTCACGGGTTAATTGCACTGCTTGATAGTAGCGTAAGATGTTTGCTTGTTGTGAACTTCTTGTGCTAAGGTTTTGTTCTCCCAGAGTTGACAGACGAGTGGTTTCACCTTTGCTAGACGGATTGCGGTCCGAGCTGACCGCGGTTTACTAAGGTGGCGGAAGTCAGCTTACATTGTTGTTTGAGAGGTCAAGAAACATTCAATCGTAGCACTTCAGGCGGTGGTGTGCCGTACAATGGAGCTTTGTGAAGAGGCCAGGCTATACGACCCGCCGTATACCGTTGGTTGGTGGATGATCGTGTTGGGGCATCTCTTCTCTTGGCCTTTATTCGCTTTCGTTTAAACCCTGGAAGATTAACATGGAACCTGAAAACCACGGGGTTGTAATTGTAGAGGAACATCATCTTCCAAAGGATTCCAAAGGTCCATTTTCAGGTTCCATGTTAATCTTTCCGGGTGTAACTGGAACACGCCGGTGCGCAGGTGGCCAGGCGGCATGGCATTGATGCCATCGCATTGGATGGTGATCGTGTGAGTCGCAAGGCACTGAAAACGCGGATTTTGCAGTGTGAATCGATGTGACGCAGTTCCTTGGGACTGTCCAGTCTTGTGGTACAAGAGCTGGTGCATTTGTCTCCAAAGAAGTTGTTGAAAGCCTAAAGCATCCGGAAGGGTTCTAGTCAGAAGATTCAAATCCTACAAGTAGATACAATTAGTTCATGATCATTGGAACTGACTTCCGCGACTCATTTTTCGATGCTCAGACGTCCTTCCGCCGCGTTTCCTCCTCTTGCTCGTGCGCCGCTCGTTTTCTCGTTGACACGGCGCCGGACAGGGAGTGATCACGGGCGGCTTTCAAGATCCCCAGCGCTTCGTTCGACTCTCCTTGGCGGAGGCGAGGCCCCCACACCGGAACTCATTTCGCTCGGAGCTCGTTGTTGGTTGTAGGAGTTGTAGGTCTTAGACCTCAAACCGCGGCGCGTGGCCTCCAACATCAGACAGGTAATTGAGAAGAAAGGTGTAGCGTGGCCATTGGGTGTTCTCATCCCTTTTGGAAAGCAGCTCCAATTGGGGACAGACACCTGTGCAATTTGGGGGGGTATGATCCAAGAAAGTGTGAAGAAACCGAGTGTAAAATCAGGTGAAGGTTACAATGGTCCTGAGACCTGTCTAAGGCCATTCGTGCTGCACAACAGCGGCTCCTTCAGGCGAGGGCTCGACTGGACCTGAAAAATGAACTCCAAATTAAGCAGTTGCAGTACATATTGCACCTGAACTTCCAAAACCAACAGCCGCTGTTTTGCGCTGGTGATTGAACCAAAAGCTCATGGGAATCACAGATGGTCATGTTCTTCACAGAATCTCACAAAATCTCTCATGTTCCCGTCTTTTTGCCGCGTGGTCGTGGAATTTATATACAGCGAGGCGGAAGAGAAGTTGCCAAATCTGGACACGCAGATTGAAGAAGTCCAGTGCTTGGTTGAAGCACTAAGTGCTTTTGGGCGAGGAGGACAACATACTTTGCGCACCTTGCAAAGTAATTATGTTATGTTCCATGAAAGTCGGAAATGCATGTTTGACATTGAGAACATATATATTGTTTGCTCCATTAGTCACAGTCTTTACATATTAATGTTTTATATACTATAATCCTCAGTCTTTGCAAAGTTGCACCATTGTTTGTTTTTTTTGTAAATTGCTGTTGCGCATGTATAAGCCACACTATATTGTGCTTCTGGACATGTCATGAACATTGCATTTTGGATATGGTTTGCTGATGTCAACGGGTCCATGTTGACGTTTTGTTTTTTTTCAACTTTTTTGCGGGGCCAAATGGCATGACAACGCAATATTGAGCCTTGTGGATACAAACTTTGCAGCGTGTTGCAGCCTAAATAAATAAATCACTTTCAAAAAGTCCTACACTCTGATTCACACACATGTGGCCACTTGGAAGATGACTTTCCTTTACAAACAGGGGGTGCTTGCATTAGATTGTAGATCACATCCTCAGGTTTACTTGCGGCAGCTTCGACTGGGAGCAATTGATGTGCACGAAAGCAACACACGTGACACGGGCTCTTATTGTATAAAGGGTTTTCGACGTTCGCGGTGTCCTGAAACAGATGCATGCCATATCACAGCAGCCTTCTAAATGGACTTTCCCAGATCTGTGCAGCGCAAGTGGCGCAAACCAAGCTCATTGATCTGCCTTTTGCAGCGGCTCTTCTGCTTGTTGTCGCACTTGACCAACTTCTGCAGTGACAGAAACACTTCATTCATCATCGTTCAACCTATGTTAGAAGACCATTTTGTTTCATCCACGTCGGCTTGAACCGTATTGGCAATCCTTGTCATACAAATTCCAATATGAGACCCTTGTGCATGAGACCGTGGCTACGACAACGTACAGCTTGATATGACCCTTGTGCCTTCGCTTCGCTCAGGTTGGGGAAGAGGTCAACGGTCTCCACAGCGAGCGTGCGGGTGCTCGATCCCTCACTTGCAAAAAAGCCGGGGGCTGACTCGAAAGGAGCCGAAGTGGCACCGGTGGCCGAGGAATGTATACATGAGCATGTTATTTTTTTTCAGCAACGTGCCAATAGTATATATAATGGGGGGCACTGTATTTTGCATGTCTTGCTGCTAGTGTTCGTTTTGTGGCTTTGTGGTGTGGGGTTCGTGATCTATTTTGAAGAATCTGAAGGAGAGTAGTGAGAGTAGTGAAACCAGCGGCCAAGAATCTGAAGGAGAGTCCAAGCAAGGCCGGGAGATACAGGAGCAGCGGGGCAAGATTCGAGTGGAACTGCAACGCCTTGCTGAAGAGGCAATGATGGCTGGAAGACATTGGACTCTAGACTGGGAGGCGATAACTGACCAAGCTTTCCAATTTCAGAAGGCCTGCTGTCATAGGGTTGTCAAGATGACGAGTCTCCCGTCTCCCTATCTATCAAGCGCAACAATTCTACATTATGCAGCCATGCACAGTCATGTTGGGGCTGGTCAGACAGTCTATATACGACTGAAAACAACTCAATGAAACAGTTCGGCAGTTTACAAGGGAACACTTCCACCCTGTTCAGGTCAAGCACGCCGAAGAGACCATCTCCGCTTCTGAGTCAGAGCCAGAAGTTGACTGGTCAACAGTGATCACCACAGATCCGCAATGGCTTGTTTGACAACAACATGCAACAACCACATCTTGAGAATCACCACAATATCCCACTGCGTGGAATCACCCTAGACTTAATGCATGTCCAAAACTCTTCACTTCATGCATTCTTTTGCTGTTCCACGGAAACTGAAGGCGGGATCTCAACAATCTTCGAGAATGGCGCCATCGCATGCAGGCCAGAGTGGGGATCATGAACGCAAACTCTTCCATCACCATCAACCAAACCAGTGTAGAGTGCTAATGGCATGGATACCAGGTTTCATGGCTATGTCCAGGTCCTCATCAGCGACTGTGAAGCCTCCATCGAAGCGAAGAAGGAGCGCACGAGCATGCTGAAGCGTCGAGCGCTTTCTGAAACAGGTTGAACACGGCCCAGGAACCTGGTTGATTCATGTTGCCACAGATTCTGTTGGGCCTCCTACCGGATTCGACAAACAGACCTAGGCACGCAGGGGTTGGTGACATACATGGCCACATGACGGAGGCGACCCACTCGGAGACGTCTCCGGAGGGGACCCGCGGCGACGGACCGCTGGCGAATGAAGTCAAACAAGAGAGAATAACCCAAAGAAAAAAGAAAACACCAGCTCGAGCTCACATATTGTTGGGGTCCATTCTTGAATCTGTTGTGTTCTGTTTCGGGTCCATTCTGGCTAATGGTTCTGTTGGGGTCCATATATATTTATATATATATATATTTTGTTTTTTTGTTGTGTTCTGAACTTAGACAAAAAAGAGAGACAAGCCACCGCGGATCGCCAAAGATCGGCCGATGAGTTCCGAAGAGGGACGAGTCAACTAGACTGGAGTGATCTCGAGTTCTTCCAATAGATATCATATAGTCTTAGTGGTTCCCAAACAGATAGAAGGGGTTTTCAATATATATGTTTATGATATGTTTAGTGGGGATCTTATCTATTTGGGGGTCTATATATAGATTCTAGAGTCCATAAGGCTTCACCGCCCAAACGATGTAACCGTGGCATGGACAGTCCCCGGGCCGTTGCGCCCGAGATAGAGTGCGGTACATGACTCGGGTTCTTCGTTAAAACAAGATAGCTTGCTGTGTTGTTCATGTGACATCATGTGACCCAGAGGCCGAGCGTGCCTCGCGCTCCTTGAGCACCTTGTCGGCTGCAGAGACCAAGCGCTTGCAGGGTCGGCTGCCTTCGGGGTCGAGTGGGTTTCGGCAATATCTGAACCCAACAGGCCAACAGGGAGAGATCTTGGGGGGGGTCATGGAGTCCATGACGATCTCGGGCTTAGGTGATACTAAACACGTGGGCATGACGTGAAGAAGAAGAGCTTGGAAGAACTTCTCGACTTCGAAGATGCTTCAGCTGGTTCTGTGATGTGTCAAGATGTGTCAAGTCAAGGCATGCCAAGACCTATCATGGCCAAGTTCAGCACCTCATTCACAAAATCTCCATCTAAGATCATCTAAGGAGGTATAGGAGCAAGGAGCTGTGGCCTTCAACGACTGATCGGAGATCACTCCATGAGCTCTTGACCTCTGAGTGAGAACAAGGTTATTATGCAAACCACAGTAATATGAGTGTAGTTTTTAATGCGGTCTGAATGGCTTTCTATGTTTATTTCCTTCTTCCAGGGGGTCGAACTGGGAGGTCTCCCAATTTTGATAAACACACACACATACCCATATGCGGGCCACCGCTTGTGGATTCACTCTGGTCCTCCAGTCGCCGGAACACCAATAGGTTGGGAGAAGAGTTCGGTTGGGAAACAGCCAGATGGAGTTGCTGTCACGTTTCACTCGCCACAGGGTCAACTTCATCGCAGTTTGGTAGCGGAGGATGGCGAAGATACCGGTCTGGTAATCCATACTTTTATGGGGTGGCTCAGCCACACTATATAAATATGACAACTGTTTTTTTGAAAACGCGTTCGTCCAGGACTTCAAATCCTGAGTTCAACCTGTAGGCATTATTCAACGGGTGTTGGAGGCTTTGTCTCATATTAAAATAACATATATATATATATATACACCTGGAAACGCAAACAACCAGAAACAACTGGTTGTTCCAATGGGACAGTCGAGATCTTTTACATTTACATAATAAGTGGTTGTTTGGGAAACATCCGTTTGTTTCTGGTTGTTTAGGTTTCCAGGTGTGTAATTATATATATATATATGAATATATGTTTATAGTTTTATGTATTGTTTGTCGTTTTGTTGCTTTTTTGCTTCAGAGCTTGCCAAGTCTTTCGACTTAATTAGCTGATTTGTGTGCTTTGCTGTTGTCAAGTGCAACAGGTGTCCACCACTGTTCCATACGCGCAGACATGCGCAGACTAAACCTGGTAGCGAAGAGTGACACTCAGCCACGACCACCGCCAGAAAGCGCCTGCCAGGTCTCACAGATCAATGCCAGGCGGGCAGTGAAGATGGTCATTGCTGACATTGCTGAAAGAGACAATTGAAATCTTGGTATATATACAATCATTCCATTTTGCTTGACATAGTAGAAGCACCATGCCCAAAAGCCATTCATATAAATACCTTCAATTGCCTTCCATCCCGTTTGACCCCCTTTTTCGGCGTTCCCACCTCGCAAAACGGGGGTTCCAAGGCGCTCGAGGCGCAGGAAGCCTCAGCACAGGACATGGACGTGGCCGGTCGTGACCGCGCATTGCCAAGAGCCCCAACTAACATGTAGGGACATGGGATGACATGGGTCGAACATGGTTGAACTTGCATGACTTTTGCTTAGGTGCTTCTATGTTTGCAAGAAGTTACTGTAGGTTTCATGATTGCTTAGTTGCACAAGATCGCTAACCCTTGGATACCAATTCATCATTGCCCATCGGGAATGTCAGCTGCTAGATATTGTTGGGCTGCAGCTACTATCAGCCTTGGGCTTGACAACCCCTCAGCCAGAGCCCTGCAGGAAACGCTGCAAAATTTGCGCGCATCCATGGAGGAGATTGGAATTTGGATTTTGAAGACACGATTTCTACTCAGTGTCGTTGGAGGGCCCATGAAATATGTTCTTGCATTGTTCACTAGTAGGGCCGTTATGAAAGAACGCGCATTTCTGGGTAGACTCTACGCTGAAAGATGCAGAAAATTGTTTTGGTTTTGGCGGGGATTTAAAATGGATTATATGTTTTTTCGGGAATTGTTTCAGCAGATGTTGCTTTTGCTGCTGTTCTGCTTTTGCTGTTTCTTTTTTGCATTGCTTTTGCTTTTATTGATTGTTTGCTTTTGTTGCGCTTCTTCTTTTGCAGCTGTTTTGCTTTTGCTGTGTTTTTTTTGCATGGCTATTGCTTTTACTGCTTTTGCTGCTTGTTTGCTTTTTGTTTTCGGCCTTTTGGTCTTTGCTTTGGTTTTTGCTGTTTTCATTTCTGTTGACTCGGTTTGTTTTTTGTTTCTTTGGTTGCCTTGCTGCTTTTCTGCTCTGGTTGCTTTGTTGATTTTTGTTGCTGTTTGGTCTACTGTGCTGCATTCGTTGCTGTTCGGTCTGCATTACTGCGCAACTTGAACACACTCGTGTCTCATATATTCTTTAGCTACACAAACACATTGGACAGAGAAGTTTCAATAAGCTTTGCACATATGTATGTCATGGTTGTTTTGCTGTGTCTGTGGGAAAACATTGAAGTACGCGCTGCTTACATGTGGAGCTTACAAGACGCAATAAAGTCAAAATTTAGGTGAGAGCGAGGAGCCATTCCAAGGTAGCAAACGTGACATCAAGAGGAGGAAGAGGCCATTCCAAGGTAGCAGCTTAGCAAACTGCACTTGATTGTGACCAATCCAGTCTTGTGCAGGTTGAGTTCAATGAGTTCACCTCGGCTCCTCTCGGCTGCAAATCTTAGGCGCCCTTGTGCCATGCGAAGCACGGCAACCCCATGGATCTAGCCTCAAGAAGGCTTTTCGTTCGAGTGCGGCAAAGGTTGCATCATCGTGGCGGCATTGCGTGTTTTTCTTTGCATTGAGTTGCTCGACGGCTGCAGTGCACTGTGTCTTGGCGTGAGTTGGTCGTGCATTGAGACTTGAGTCCCATTCCATCCAGAACCTACATCATTTAATAGCGGAGCTCCGGCTCCAGCTGCCTTTGGAATTGAGCTCTAGTACCTGAATACCCTGCGTGACTTCGTGTGGCACTATGATGTCCAAGGATGGAACTGACTCGAAGATCCCGAGTTGGGATGGCTCCAGTCGAACTTGGCGAAGATATCTAAAGAGGTCTCCTGGTTTGCTGGTGGCACTAAGCCAGCACAGCGGCAGTACTTGGCTCCGAAGCTGATCAGTCGTCTGGGTGGCTCAGCTAGGTTGTTGGCCATGAGTTGGTCACAGAAGGACTTTGTAGGTCCTGATGGTGTGAAAGTGTTGCTACAATGTCTTTTGGCAAGTCTGTTGGTCAGGAAGTCGTTGCCTAATGCTGCAGCAATCATGTCGGAGTACTTCTCCTTCAAGCGTCGACCGCAAGAACCCATCGCTCAGTTTTTGGTTCGTGAAAGCTTAGGATTTGAAGAGTTTGCAGAAGCACCGGCTCAGTTGAAAGAAGAGAAAGAAGGTCATGATCCTGCGCTTCGCAACTTTGACCTCCCCGACATGTCACCTCCTCCTGATGAGTCTGACCATGATGGTCGCCTGTGGAGACAGTCTGATCGCTATCAATGACGGCATTGGACCGCCAGATGGCTCAGACGGCGGTCATCGCGCTCCTGAGCGCGAGGATGGCTATGCTGGTGGACCGGATTCACCAGTGGGAAGAACCATCCCAGCAGCTACAGTTGGTGCCACAGGTATTTCTGATTTGGGCTTTACTCAGCGTGCGCAAGTTGTTGGGGATTCTTCTCCTGGGCCTCAAGATTCCTTCATCATGCAGGTCCTCCGAGGCTGGAGGTTGCTTGTGGCGGCTTCCCTCACTCAAGAAGAGTGGCGTGACATCCTGGCAACGACAGGAAGCACGCTGGAATATGAAAAGATCGCTGATGCTCTGGCTAATTTGTGGGATGAACGGTTGATGGGCTATCGACAGAGTCACCAGACCTCTCAGCGATCCTTCAACAAACCACTGGGTTGAGCAGGCAGTGGACCCATGGTACAACCAGTATGCAGCTTGGGATGATGAATGGTACCATGATGACGGTTCCCGCTGGTGAACCTGGCCTTCAGCAGCAATGGCAGCTTGAGATGACTGACTCAGCAATGTCTGACGCTCCTGCCGCCTCTCATGAGGCAGACGACGCAGAGCTTCAGGAATGCTGGAATAGGAAAAGGCTGCAGAAGCCATGGCCATGGAAGCTCGCCGAACCTGGTCACAGGCTCAGAAAGCCACTGCCGCCCTCTGACAAGTTCGTGGCTTCGGACAGCACTCTAGCTCGTCCAACAGTGGCTGTTTCATTTGTGGCGGACCACATCTTGCGAAGGACTGTCCTGATAAGTCAGCACCTCGCAAGGGCTCCAGGAAGTTCTTGTCTCCAGCTGAACTGGACCAGTTCCTTGGCACGAAAGGAAAAGGAAAGTCGCTTCGGCAAAGCCAAGAACGCATATCAGATGAGTGGCCATTGCCGCAAGCTCCTTTTGGTTATGACCAGTTCGCCATGTTCAAGGGCAAGGGCAAAGGCAAATCACCGGGAAAACCCTCCATCAATGCATATAGCATGCTGGATTGCACCTTTTTGGAGTTTCATGCAGTTCTTTTTGATGAGTGTGGTTATTCTGCTTTTGAGAACAAACCGGATGGAGTGAGCAAGGACGATCCTCGCAGCGAGAAGACTCAATGGCCCTGCTACGGCAAGCGCACAGAGCTCCAACGGATTCGCCGGATGGAAGTCTTGTATGGTGTGCGGAGTCAGGGTGGGCTATGTGCCTCGACAGGGTACCATGGGAAGTCGGCAGCTCAGGTGAACCCCGTCATTGTCAAGAAGGCCCTGGAGAAGCTTCAAGCCGACCTCCCGACCGGTTGCTTAGACCAGACCTCACCATGAAGATGTTCGAGACCGAAGACCAGATCAAAGGACTCCAGACTCAGCCGTCCCAGCAGAAGAGCTTCCAAGAGCTGTACCATTCCCTATTTGCTCACGTGAGGCCACCGAGGCCGAACAGCTGCTGGCTCTCATGACGACAGCCGAGCGGGAACATCTTCGATCCCGTGCCCTTAGGCCCAGCAGATTCCTGTGGATTTGGACTCGGAAGTGGAGCTGATCCCATCGGGCATCATCTCAGCGACGACCAGTCCAGCGCACTCCTCATGAAGGACGTGAACAAGCAGGTTCGCTTTGAACCTGATGTGCCTAATGACGGATCCTGTGGAGGAGGATCCACCTGTCCCTTTGAAGACAGACATGCGTGACAAGAAAAAAGCCAAAGCCAAGAAAACGAATTCAAAGCGCACTATTCTTCCTCTCAGAACGACGAGGGAAACGTTCTCATCACCCTGGAGGACACCTTTGCAGAGAAAGCCAAAATAAAAAGAATTCAGCCGCAACTGTGCTCTCCCTTTGGGGATTGCCAAGGCTACGCTGGCGATGACTGCTCTCCTCTTGTCATCGGCTCACGTTGAACTACGAACTCTTCTCCGAGGAGACCATGTTGACGTTTGGGAACTCTTTTGTGGACCGACCAGTTGGCTCACGGCCGCCTGTGAGCAAGAAAGTCTCAAGTGTCAGCGCATCAATCTTCATCAAGTAGGCTATGACCTCTACAAGCCGGCGACCTATGACAGACCAAGTACCTGAAGGAGCGACCCCGGCGACTATCGATTTCCACTAGTAGTCACTAGACGCACCTACTGGTGTCCATGGACCAGTTTGAACTACCAAGGCATTGAACGGCAAGCAGAGCTCGTCAAACACCGACGTCGAGAAAGAGCTATGTTCAAGCTTTCCTCGACATTGTCTCCAGTGACCCGGAGGTGGATGTCTTCTGGGAATGGCCCACTCACTGCTATGGGTCGGAGTGAGCACTGGCTTCAAGTCCTGGAGAATGAGCTCTGGAAGTTAGACCGCAGTTGGCACCTGCAGAATTGATGGCTGCAGGCATGACCACACCCAAGGGATTGAGACCAGCAAGTCTGCCTACTCCCTTGCAAAATGATGAGCGTCGCCCAAACGTGGCGAAAGCAACTATATCCTAACCGCTCAACCACAAGAACTGAGCATGGCTGAGATCTCAGCCCAATTGCTCTGTCCTCAAGAGATTGAAGATGACTATGAGCGGACGTCGCGTGAGCATCAACTAACGGCCAAAGAACTTGAAACCTGGCGCCATCAACTCCTCAAGTACCACAAGGCGGCTGGACATCCGAACTCCTACAATCTGGCTCGTATTGTCAAAGAAGCTGGACGTCCCGCTTGGCAAGTTCGAGCTGCTTTGGAGTTGACGTGTGATTATTGCCAGGCGCTGAAGCTTGGTGGCTCGTCCATTCGTCCAGCTTCTGTCAGACCTCTGCCAAAAGCCTGGCAGGTTGTTGGCGTGGACACTTGCGAGTGGTCACCTCCAAACCACCCTCACAAGTACAAGGTGCTCTTGATGATGGGTCTGGCAACGAAATTCAAGACTGCCCATGTCCTTTTGAAGTATGGTGCTTATGAATATATGAAAGCTGAAAGCGCTCAAATGGTCGTGGATGCTAGTCAATGGTCAGTTGTGCCATGCGAAGCACGGCAACCCCGTGGATCTAGCCTAACGAAGGCTTTTCGTTCGAGCGCGGCAAAGGTTGCATCATCGTGGCGGCGTTGCATGTTGCATGTTTTTCTTTGCATTGAGTTGCTTGACGGTTGCAGTGCATTGTGTCTTGGAAGGAAGGTGCCATTCCAAGGTAGCAGACCTTTTGTGAGGCGCCCGGCAAAACATTTAGAGAAGTCAGGCGCCATTCCAACGTAGGCTTTTTGTGAGCCACCCGATGGTAGAATTTAGAGAAGGAAGGTGCCATTTCAACATAGCAGGCCCTTTGTGAGCCACCTGGGT